TCTCCTTTACGCAACATGTCACAATATATATACTTTCATTTTAAAATGTGTAAAATTTAAATTGATTTTGATTGTGTTCTTCTGTTGTTGCACCATATTCAAGCCCAAAAGATAATCATATCAATAATTAACCACTGTGAAAGCCTAAAATAAATTAAAATTAAATGGCCATGCAGTTTCACAGTTCAGCTGCATAGTAAAGAACTCTTGTATAATGAAAAAATTTGTAGGTCCTAGTAAGATACAAACCATTACATTTAATAAGACCGTATTTTTTTCTATTATTATCAGATATTATTAATATGTTGCAGGCAAGCACAAGAGCTTACAGAACGGACATCAGCAGACCAGGCTGCAGCTATCAAGGAACCACTTTCTGCTGTGAATCGTCGCTGGGATGAGCTTCTGCGTGGAATGGTTGAACGACAAAGGCAGCTGGAGAATGCCCTGTTGCGTCTTGGGCAGTTCCAACATGCTCTGGCAGAGCTGTTAGTTTGGATTGATAAGACTGATGGTACATTAGATGAATTGAAACCAGTAGCTGGAGATCCACAGGTCCTGGAAGTTGAACTTGCGAAGCTGAAGGTGAATATCACTTATATCAGCTGTAAGCAGAATGAAAGTATTTTCCGCAGTTTACCTTTCAAACATGTATTGAGCCAATTAAGGTGTATACTTCAATCCAAGTGTTAATTATATACAAGATGTCAGGAAATTAATAATTAATTAACATGTAAACATCGTTATATTAATTTTCATATTTGACTTAAATGAACTGCACTTGAGATCCTTTTGTGCAGACCATCATCACTAACATCATCTTTTTTTGTCTCCTCTCTTTTCTATTTCCAAGATAGGTCATCCTGTGACAAAACCTTCTCCATTCTCTGCCCAACTTTAGTGTTTCTCTTCCATCTTTGTATATTCTTCCTCTGCTTTAGTTTGGGTATCTTCCCTCACTTGGTTTCCTCAGTAGTAGCTGATTCCCTTTTCCCATTTTTTTTTCTTGCTTTGTAATTCTATTTTCACCCTTGGGTGGCACATGTTCATATTGCTGTATACTTAGTTTGACAAGACTTTTCTTCTGGTGTGTTTCCTGTCAGCTTGCTTGATATCCTGATTGGATATTTTATCCCTTGTTCCTTTCTTAACACTTTCCACACTGTGGACATGACTATACAGCCTAGGGAACAAGCTTTTGTACGTTAAATGTGGGTTTTGGAGAACATAACCTGAAATGACTTAAACTTAGTTAAGGCACTGAACCTTGTTTATTTAATAAAATAAATTTTTCATTTCTCAAAATGTGCCCCACTCCAACTTTACTCTTGAAGTATAGAAGCTTTTCATAGAATTATGTTAATGACAGCAGAGGCAGCACAAAACATTTTGCAGTTTCATCTTAAAAGACAGTTGACATCTTTTCCACCTCCTAAATAATTTTCCCTTCTCATTTATTGTTAACCTGTCTTTTCAATGTCATCGCTGGCCATTACTTTGAAATCACTTAAAAACTACAGTACTGCACTGTAACACAAAAAGAACAAACAGTAACCTTTTCCAAGTTACACAGGGACAAACAAATCACATTTCTCTGAGGAACAAAGAATGGACAGAGACACACTGCCTGCCTTACTAATCTATGCATGCTACGTTACATGATGTACAAATGATGACCTTGAATTGTACAAGGGTGGCCACGTGAGTTGGAACATGCAAAGAGTTCTTTCCGGTGCTAAAGCAGAATCTCAAACATGTTTAGGAATCATGAGTTATGTACATGAAATGCAGGTAAACCCATATATCAGGAAAAATTTAATAGAGGAAAATAGCACATTAAACACATGGAGCTTTGTCAGAGACCACAACAAGTATCCCTCAGATGTAAGGAAATGTAAAATGTGGATCCCTTAAATCAGGGTTTCACTGTACATGCTTCAGTGTATTACATGAGATTGGCTTACAGAAACTTCTTTATTCTAAATTAGCCAGAATAAATACGAGCACGGAAGGAGTTAATGCTTTATAGAACTTTCACTTATACTTCTTCATATAAATGTTTGGCTTTAATATGCAGTTCCATCTTCTCTTTGTAGTGCCTTGCCACATTTGTGTATTATAAGTGCAGTTAATGAATATACAGCAATTATATCCTCCTCCAAATATACAGGCCCAGTGCTGTTGTGTTTGCATTTAGTATTTGCCTTTTAAAGTCCAGTCAATGTATGTACCACCATCTTTAACATGAAAACCTTGCACTTTTCCCTAAGATATATTTATGGTTTCATATGATTCTCGCAATAAACAGCAGTTTTTTCCCTAAACAGCATTAACCGATTACTTTCTGTAGTGGAAGCATAGTGTGTTTCCTGTGTGGTAGGAACTAAATTCTTATATGTTATGTAGATGTATTTCAGTCTCTAAAGGATTAATGTTTAACTGTTAATTTCTTGAAGTATAATTTAATGGAAACATTAAGTCATAGAAAGAAATGGTTAATTTGTTAAAAAAAAAACAGATGCTGGTACTCAGAGGCAACAGAGTTAGTATTAAACTAAAACAATATTTCAATTTCTCTTATTGCTGTGCTTTTAGTAACATGTTTTTTCTTCTTTCTCTTCTTCTTCTTATGTGGAGTGAAAGTTGCTGATATGCTTTACTGCTGAATGCCATCAAAAAGAAGCTAAGAAATCCATATTGGATATGTTTATGTTCACAATAGGTGCTGGTGAATGACATTCAAGCACATCAGACAAGTGTGGATACGCTTAATGATGCGGGTCGCCAGATAATTGAATCTGGGAAAGGAACAGCAGAAGCATCTGCCACGCAAGAGAAACTATTACAGCTGAACCGCCACTGGAGAGATCTGCTTGCAAAGGCAGCTGATAGGCAGCATGAGCTGGAAGATGCCCTGAAGGAGGCTCAGAGGTTCCATGCCGAGATCCAAGACCTTCTGTCCTGGCTTGGAGATGTTGATGGAGTCATAGCAGCATCAAAACCTGTGGGTGGCTTGCCAGAGACTGCGTCAGAGCAGTTGGAAAGATTTATGGTATTACACTCTGTCACTCTTGGGGATTCTTGCACATAGCATCGAACATGGGTTCTGAACTTTTTTTACAGTGGGACCGTATTTTTCAGAATGCTTAGCACATGTTCACTTAGTCCCAGTGATTTTCAGGATTGTCCTTCTGTGGAACGCAGGTTTGATATTCACCAGGACTGGCATAGATAGGCCTACAATCTCATTTTCATTTCAGAATTTTTGAACAAATACCATCCTGGTAATTGTCTATGCCTTACATAATGTGCATTCTCTATATGTTGGTAGTATTGCCAAAATGTGGCAAGAAAGCACTGAAAAAATGACAGCTAAATTCAAAAAGAGAAATTTACTCAAATGCTGTGTCCACTTCAGCACAAAAGAGAAATGGGAGTAAATGTTTGTGCACCCCAGAGATAACTGATTGTTGGTCTTTCAATGTTAACATCATAGGAAGTGTACAACGAATTGGAGCAAAGTCGTCCGAAGGTAGAGACTGTTCTGCAGCAAGGACAGGAATACCTGAAGAAGTCAGGATCAGGAGCGGCCAATAACTTGCAGCACAACCTCCGGACACTTAAGAACCGCTGGGACAGTGTTACTGCCCGAGCTTCAGACAAGAAGATAAAGCTGGAAATTGCTCTCAAGGAGGCTACAGAGTTCCATGAAGCTTTACAGGTATGAGCCCCTTGTCTGTCTTAACAAATTGTGCACCAGATTATGCTGCCCCCATTTCCTTTGCTAGTGGTTACAATTCCTGGCTACAGGTTCAGAGGTCTGGGTTCGATTCCTGGTGCTACCAGATTTTTTCCTGAGAAGTGGTGGGTCTGGAATGGCATCCACTCAGCCTCATGATGATAATTGAGGAGCTATTTCAAGGAAGTGGTGACTCCGGTCTAAAAAACCGAAATTAACAGCCATGGGGATTTGTTGGGCTGACCACATGACACCCTCCAGCCACTAAAGTTGGCACTACACCAACAAGCGGCGGTCGCTTGGTCGGTATAGTTCACTTGCGGACTAAAACCACAGAGGTTTTTTTTGCATATATTCATCTGGCTATCTAATTATCCAGTTACAAGTAGCACAGACTGGATACAATCCTGAGCACAAAACCTTTATACAGATAGACTGTAGAAATTATAATTTAGGTTGTAACTTTTTTGCTGATCTGTGGAATGGAGATTGTTTGATTGTCATAATTTTACAGGCTTTTGTTGATTGGTTGACCAATGCTGAGAAGATCTTGAGTAATTTGAAACCTGTATCACGTGTAATGGAAACAATTCTGAGCCAAATAGAGGAACACAAAGCCTTCCAGAAGGACGTTGGTGTACATCGGGAAACTATGTTGAATCTGGACAAGAAGGGAACACATCTCAAATACTTCAGCCAGAAACAGGATGTGATCCTGATCAAGAATCTACTAATCAGTGTTCAGCATCGCTGGGAAAGAGTGGTGAGCAAGTCAGCAGAGCGCACTCGAGCGCTGGATCATGGCTACAAGGAGGCACGCGAATTCCATGACTCCTGGTAAGTTTGTACAACACTGCATTCTTACTTTTGGTTATTCCATATGCTTAACTACTTACTTACTTAATCTGTTCCTCTTATAGCTTATGGATCTTAGAGAGATAGGGTGGGATCTTATGGACTGGATCTATCTGGCTCAGGATAGGGCCCGGTTCAGGGCTCTTTTGAATATGGTAACAAACCTTTGGAGAGGGCTCTTTTGAATATGGTAATGAACCTTTGGGTTCCATAAAATGCTGGGAAGTCCTTGAGTAGCTGAACGGTTGGCATCTTCTCAAGAAGGGGTCGGCTCCAAGAGTGAACAATTTTCATGATAGACAGGTATTAGTGATCTGTAGGCTGTTGTTAAATGAAATATTCTGTAAGAATTAATTTCTTGTGTTTAGGTCTGGTTTGATGTCATGGTTGGGAGAAACTGAAAAGAGCTTGGACGACTTGGCAGTTGAAGCTACTGGCGTTGGTAATGATCCTGAAAAGATTAAGGCTCGTCTTGCGAAACATCGTGAATTCCAGCGTGCTCTGTCTGGCAAGCAGGCAACTTACGATGCCACAATGAGGGCAGGGAAGACTCTAAAGGAACGGGCACCCAAGTCTGATGAGCCTGCCCTCAAGCAAATGATGACTGAGCTCAAAAACAAATGGAATGCTGTTTGTGCAAAGTCAGTGGACAGGTACGAGACTCCTTTATTTTCCTTCCTGATCCTCTGTAGGACAATGGCAGTGCATCTAATGGTCCATGTAACAGTTTTAACATTTTTATAAATTGTTTGAGAACAGAGATCTGAGGAGAACATCAGGACCTGAGGAGAAGGGTATAGTTATACAGAGAAAATTACATAATGAGAAGCTTAATAATTTATTCTTGTCACCAAATTTTATTACCATTATTAGACCGAGGAGGATGTTTGAAAGAAATGAGAAATTTGTAAACATTGTAATTTGGTAACCTTGAGGTCTGAGGATATGACCTTGAGCCAGCTGTTGCAAATCCTGATACAGTGGCAGGCTGTTGTAAATGTGATAATGAATCTTTGTGTGAAGTCCAAAGTAGGAAATTCCTTAACCCTTCAGTCCCGGGGGCATTTAAATCGTTTTTGCACTCCAGTGCCGGGGCTATTTAAATAATTTAATCGGAGAATGCAGCACTTAACTTAAAGCTTAATAAACGGGGAAAAACTGGAGTTCTGTTTTTCAGATTTTCACACAACGTCAAGAGAAGTATATAGAATTAAAGTATTGACCCACACTACTTTAAAATTATTTTTGGGCCAGTAAGCGTATAAAAATTATTAATTACCTTAAAAATTCAGCTATGTGTGGTAGTCGCGGAAACACTCAATGCTGCCCTCATTTCCAACAGCTTCAATCAAGGCACGATCATCTAACTTGCTTTCAGTGTCAAAATCCGAATCTGACAGACTTTGTTCGGAATCACTTTCAAGCAAACACTGTAAGTCCTCGTCGCTCAACACAGCTGAACGTCTCTTGCTTGTCCCAGCTATGGCTGCTACATGCAAGCTGCATTAGCTATGTGGAACAAACAGAACCTCAAGGAATGCAAACAAGGCATTTGTTTATCATATCTAACTGCTGTCATAACAGAGGTCAGTGTCACGTATCTTTCTTGTTAGGTTTTCTACACGTGGTTTCTCATTCCGTTCAAGAAGCAGCACTCGTCACTGGTGAATGGAAATCGATTTTTTTATCGACCAACACGCAGAGAGATCACAGACTTTCCTTCAACCAACATGCAAGGAGGTCACAGACTATAAACCTAGCATATTTAGTTCCTAACTCTCCAAGAGATGGAGACAGATTTGTATTGCAATACTGCAACCTAGACGGCAAGCTACGGAACTTCTTCAGAGACTTCTAATGTAAAAAAAAAATACCCCGGGAAGTTCAAAGTGGGATAACGAATGTACGAAATGATAGACAGAAATTTCCTCTTTCAATTTATAGCAAAAGTATTACTTTACATGAAAAGCAGCATAAGACGCATGACAGCGTCTCCCGGCGAGATGTGGCATTTAAATGCTGACGTGCTATGTATGTCGCCCGGCACTGGAAGGTTAACCAACTGAACATAAATAAAAATCTTGCACCATAGAAGTATTTAATAGAATAACTAGTAGCCCATGTGTCATATGGCCCAGTAAGGACAGTACACATGTGTATATGCAGCTAAACATGTAACATGTGTCTGGAGAATGTCATTAATTTACATAACAATGGTTCAGTCAAAATGGGCACTACATTGCCATGCCAGCATACAAAAAAATTTACCCTGCTGTTTACATTGGTGTACATATGTAGGTGTAAGTTTTATTCAAGAAGTGTTTGATTGTGTGTTTGTGAGTACTAGAATAATGATTGAGACTGCTTCTTTCCCACATAAGACAAACTGAAAAGGATTTATTCCTACAAACAAGAAGGGGTCACATCAGTTTTTCACACTATATCTAGGCAGAAGTGAATTTGATATATTACCGTTATGTAATCTATTAATTTAAAGTTGATATGTTTAGACCACTTTCCTTATTTTGAAAAAATGAAAGGAGACTTATGAGATCACCATGCTGTCTGTGTGTCTCTCTGTGTGCCCTAATGTACATTCTTCACTATGACTGCAATATGGTAACAGTTACATTTATTGAGGAGGTTCCAGCTTTCATTCACAACCTGGAGTCCAGTTGGCTTGATGTCTTTTAGTTCTCCTCAGTTCTCCCATGCATTTTTATGGCATCTGAACTTAAATGGGTCATTAACATTCCTCCATTCTTTCTGATTCATTACTCACAATATTATTTGCATACAGTTTCTATCCAGTGAAAAAAATATTAAACTAATAACATGAATACCATACACTTTCTTATCTTCTCTCACCTCTGTCTCATGCAACTCATGATATATGAGCATAGATATACTCGTATATTCTCTGACCCAGTTTTTTTCTTTAGGTTTGTTAATGTGTGTTTGGCTGGATTTTCTTTGTGTGTTTTATTTTAGTGTATAAGATATGTGATTTGTTGTTTCTAGACAAAGAAAGCTGGAAGAAGCTTTGCTATTTTCTGGCCAATTCAAAGATGCTGTCCAAGCTCTGCTGGAATGGCTGCAAAAGGTGCAGAAAGTTTTGTCAGAAGAGGGTCCTGTTCATGGAGACTTGGACACTGTTATGGCACTTGTAGAGCAGCACAAAGTAAGTTCAAGATGTGGCATGACACACAGAAGGGTTGCATGGACTTCATTTTATAGAATTTTGCATGTATTATCTTCATTTGATCACTTGGTTTGTTTTGGGGTTATTATTAGTACTCGTAATATATAAATTCACTTCATCATAATTTATTGAACTGTAAATTTAATTGTTTATATCAGGTTGGTATTTTATTCATGAGCTCACATTTCATGGAATGTATTCTGTTCACTGGCATAAAAGGAGGACAAGTTTAACCTTTAACGGCCGAATGTTATAATTATTCGCATCAAGTAGCAAGCCGAGCTGGCCGAATGTTATAATTTTTAGGGGCAAGCCACGTGCTTCCTTTGTGAGTGCTGGCAGTTTGACCTTGGGTTTGAAACCCAAACAAACTCATGAACGTTCATGTCAGACGTTTATTTGTTAGCTCTGAACAATGAAATCGTTTATCAGGGTACTGGTTTTGAAACTATTTACGTTTAGATATGACTGTTTATGACCTGGTGAGCCAATAGAGGTCAGCTTTGTTTTGAGAAGTTAGAGGAGGAAATATTCGTAAGCACTTTCATAGCAGTGCTGCCAGAGCTTTCAAGGAAGTGTGGCTCACTGAGGGATTGGTTTGCAGTGTTGAATTCTCAGTTAGGACGTCAGTGGCGGATTTTCTATATTTTGTTAAAAGTTAGGAAGTCAGTGTCAGACTCCTATATTTCTTTTATATCATTTTTATTGTGTATCTCGGAAGTGGTATAAATACACTGAGCCAGTGTTACTTTGTGCGTAAAGACATCTTCGTCACTGTGACTTTCGGTATCAGTGGCGGACTGGCACTTTTCGACTGCTATTGCAATTACTTTGCATCACAATTTTGCGAGTATTCTTCCACCTACTAGACATGTCTATTCTCAATGAATATCTGTTACACAAGTCATGTGATGGAAAAATGACGCACAAAAATTTCCGCGAAATTTTGGTGCGTGATTTGATTCTTCAATCACATGAGGCGAATATCACGGTCAGTGGTGTTTTTCGAGGGAGGCCAAGTTCATCTGGGGCCCAACTGAGTCGACTGGAGGTGAAACATTCAAAACACTGACCAGCGAAAGGGAAACAAAGACGTTTGTTCTATAAACAAGAAAAGCGGGAGCACGCTTTACCGCTGTAGAGTGTGATGTCACGCTGTGTGATGGACTGCTTCGAGAGTGGGATGCGCGTAAGAGTGTAAACTGTGAAGCAATGCAGTCCAAACCGTGTACAGTCCGAACCAAATATTATTGTATATAGTGTCGTCATATTTACATCACCACCACGATTCAAGGTTGAAGAAAAACAACAGGTAAGTCCTTTGGAATTTCATAACGTATATAATAATGATTATATTTTGCACTTCATGACAAAATACTCACAGTTGATTTTCATTTGTAAAACTTGCCCTTTTGTATATATGTAGAACATTTTATTGTCTTTCAGGTTCTTTTTAGTTCATATTCCGATGTTGCATAGAACGGAAAATATGCATTTTTTTCTGAAACTTTGCAATGTTAAAGACTTAGGGCCATTTAAATTCCGGCCGTATGGAGCTGCCGGCAATTTAAAAGTCCGTACATTAAAGGTTAAAAGGCATAAAACCAACAGAACAAAAAATGACTACCGTATTTACGCATGTATAGGCCGCAACACTATTTTCAGACAGAAATTATAGAAAAAATAATTTTCTTGGAATATTATTTCAGGAGTATTACACCCTGTAGTACTAATTATGAATATAATTTTTTTAAATGAAGTGTGATTTCGAATATTTCGAATATAAGCCGCACCCCAGTTTTCCTCTTGAATTTTTGGCAAAAAAATGTGCGGCCTATACATGCGTGAATACGGTAATTAAAAATATTAATTAATTAATAGAAGTTTCTTCGTCCATGAGTGTTATGATGTGTTGTGTGTGCATGTGCAGTGTTTTGGTACACAGCATATCAGGAAGATTCTAAAGGGTTCTGATGATGGTGGATGACACACAGAATTACTGGGGTTTTGGACTTTTGCATCATCCGGAATTCTATGTAATAGAGGACACGACATTTCAGGAACTGGACATGATTGAGGTTAGCTCTTCCTAAGGGGCTCGACTGAATAGGTGTCTTCCTTTCTCACCCAAAGACGGAAACAGATCCAGTTTCCAAAATGTCATGTCCTCTATTACCTAGAATTCCGGACAATGGAAAAGCCCAAAACCCCAGTAATTCTGAGCATATCAGGAGTTGGTTCTACACCTATCTTATGTAGTGGCCAGCAGTCTGGTGATTACCCTGCAGGTTTAAGACTCATAGTTGTGAGTNTCTTCGAGGTCACAGGTACCGTCCGGTATACCGGACTTTCGGTCGTTAAAGGTTAATATATGTAATATTCTGTAGTTGATTCTTCTGTCTTCATTTATTTATCATGCTACCAGTGTGTGTATTTGCATGTTCATGTGGGTGTTGTAGTATTGTGGCATGTTTGCTGAAAGCCGGAATGCTTTAATCAGAGAAGATGCCCATTGCTAGGTTACAGCACGGTAAACATACAATGACACGATTTAACAGAGATCTGTTGCTGCAATCCAGTTGCATCTGTCTGCCATCTCTTCTTGCACATCAGTCCATTAGGAGGTTTTTTCATGCCTCATATTTGGTCTGCCTTCTGAGTGGGTTTCGGTATCCTGTGGCCTATGACTGGTCCCCAGATCAGTCCTCCAGTGCTCAAGTAGTTTCCACTGCTGCCTCTTTGTTAGGGACTTCCTAATGCTCCACTTTGGCTCCTGTTTTTCCTTGATTGGTCACAGACTCCATGGCCATCATTTCTTCCAGATCAATTGTAATTTCGGCTTTCATTCGTTCCTGACTGGTCTCTATCCTGGCCTCTGTCTTCCCTAACCAGCCTTCTTTTCTTCTCTAGATTCTCTACACAGGCTTTCATATTCCCGTTGCTGGCTTCCACCATCTCCCAAATTCCTCTCATTTCAACCAGTAGGCTTTCCATCATCTGTTCCATTTCCATGGCCTAGTGATATAACTATCCAGTGTGGTCTTTTTTTCCAGTAATTCAATCGGTCCAATCCAGTGATCCCACTTCTGACACCAAATGTCACATGTTAGTGACTACACTTGAGGTTTGGATTAGTAGCTGGATATTCTTCTGCTTCTGTGTTAACATCCTTACTGGCCAGTGACCAAACAATGCAACTGCTTCTGTGCCCATGTCTCTGCCCTGGGGGACACCTTGCCTCACAGCAGCATTGGACCTGGACTGCCTAAGTAACTCAGAACCCCAGTCAGCTGTCCTTATATCGCCTCTGCACAGACCCAACAAAGAACACCACTTCCAACAGTTCATCTACTATTGCATGTGTAAGAGTCACCATGGTCACATGCTAATTACTGGCATAGCATCAGGTGTCTTCTTTGGTTAAACTATTTCAGCTTTCAGTGATCATGCCACAGTATTATGGGCACAGGCCAAGATCAAGCCACAAAGTCTTTGAGTACTAAGACTTGAATGCACACTACTAGATTAAGTTGAGTTTTCAATGGGTTTCTAGTTAAATCTTGATCACTAGCACTGATGTTTAAAATCAAAATTAAGTAAAATTATATTGTCACAATTTAGGGGAGACTGTAGATGGGGTTTGGATTGGTGAATGGATTTATTAACCACTTATAAATATGACTCAGAAGTACAAGTAATTACAGCACCATCGCTAATCTCCACAAATCACCACAGCACCCATTAAGCCTTTTCCAGCCTGCTGTGTATTCACCACAAGTTCCCTAGCAACAGCTCCTGACAATGGAGATTCTTCAGCTTCACGCTCTCAAGTTCAATGTTCACAACCTCCTGTGAAGAACTGTTGCTGATATCAACTGAACTGGTTGACCCAAATCTCTTTTTGAATTCCTCAGCATGCACCGCATAGACAACACCCCTTTCACCCTGTCGCATGTGTAATTGTAATGAAGCAACCATTATCACAGAACAGTAAATGTGTGCATATTAACGCTTCATCATATTGCTATCAAATGAACATGTATCATATCTCAATCTCTTCAGACGTTCGAAGAAGATCTTGCAAGCCGTTCTGCACAGATGGAGTCTGTTCAACGAACTGGTAAAGAACTTGAAGCAAAGGCAACACCAAATGATGCCACAACAATTCGAGGTCAGTTATCAGAGCTCAGCAGTTTGTGGGACAGAGTGTCTACTCTGACCAAGAAGAAATCTGCTCGACTGGAAGGTGCACTGAAGGAGGTAAGAACTTTGTTCGTAAGCTGAAATTTACAAAATGATGTATACATATTGCGATGCAGAGTTTGATGTTGTGGTAAATGTGTGCAGGCTGAACAGCTGCACAAGGCAGTACATATGCTTCTGGAATGGCTGTCAGATGCAGAAATGAAGCTGAGGTTTGCAGGACCCTTGCCTGAGGATGAACAGGAAACTCGCAACCAGTTGGCTGAACATGACAAGTAAGTAGGAAGAAGAGACTGACTGCAGTAGCAGGGGTTTTTATGTTATATAATGCATAGACAAATAGCTCTGTAACTGGAGCCAATATGTGAAAGGAACACTGTCCACATATATTATGTGACCTGTCATAGCATCAAGAAATTAGTTGACTCTCAGAAAGACGTTTCATGGAGACGATGAGAAAAGAGGAACACCAGTTTCATAGGAGCCTTATTAAAGCTGGGGAAGAATTAAGGTAGTCACATTTACTACAGATGTAGAAAATCGGATTATGTTGGCCAGATACTTGAGTGACTTTGAGTGGTGGGAGAAGGCATAAGTTTTTATGTGTAAGCACCAAGATTTTAATTACTTTTAACATAAAAATGCATTTTTTAAAATATCTTGCTGTAGAAAATAATTACCTGAACAAAAGTTTCCAGTTTGTTCATACAGTTAGAATTTCTGGTACAGTGACTATTGACCGATGGCAACAGAACAGGAAAATTATCGCCAGCCTTCTTGAACACTTGGTGCATGCTGCAATATGTGACTGAAGTGAAGCAACATCCATTACTGTATAGTGCAACATTCAGCTTTAGTCCACCTTTTGCTCAGCCATTCAGTTATATTTTACTGAGCTATGAAAATGCCTTTTTGTCATCATTTCCACAACCCCCCCCCCATAATGTTAGGAAAATGGTGAGAAAATAACATGCAGTGATAAGGTTAAAGCTGAAAGCTGTGAAATGAAGATGGAGAAGCAGCATCAGTAAACTTGACTGCAATGATTTGTGTAGTTCGGAAATTCATTAATCACTCACTCATATTCCTGAGGAACACAATTGGATCCTATCAGCCAGTGTTCACTGCAGTCAGTAACATGTTTTATAACATTCCTGTGCAAATCATATGAATGACAGCTACATTTCTGTTTTCTTTCTACTGTATTTATTCTGTTTGGCTTTTATTTTAAAGCTGTCTTGATATACTTCTCTTTTACCTAATAACTCATAGTAAAATAGTGTTAATGATAGTAGCTGTAGTTCTTTCTGTTATTGTCATTGTCACTGTCTTAATGTCTTAAGTAGTGTGCTAAATATTTTGTTTTTCAGTATTAAAATATGCTTTTACTAATCATAGTGTCTTATAAACACAGATTTATGCGTGAAATGGCTGAAAAAGAACATGAGAAAGATGCTACAATTACACTGGCACAACAAATACTTGGTAAAGCCCATCCTGATGGTGCTACAGTCATCCGACACTGGATTACCATCATCCAGTCTCGCTGGGAGGAAGTGTCTACATGGGCCAAACAGGTTTGTGTTATACAAATACTGGAAAGCAAAATGGCCCATAGAAGATGAATTTTGATTAATATTTTTGTCAGAAATATTAGAATGTAGATTTCATACCCTCTGCATGCTGTTTCTTGCAGAGAGAACAGCGGTTAACAGAACACCTACGCTCTCTACACGATTTGGAGGGATTGTTGGAAGAACTGTTGGCCTGGCTGTCTGGTCTAGAGGGTACTTTGCTAACTCTTGAAACTGAGCCCCTGCCTGATGACATACCAACATTAGAGAGTCTTATCTCTGACCACAGAGAATTTATGGAAAATACATCGAAGCGTCAGCCTGAAGTGGACAGTGTATGCAAGTCACGGCAACAGGTGAAACCACAGTCAGCCACACAGCAAACAAAAGACCGCAAGCCCTCAAGGCCCAGAACACCTGCGTGAGTACAGACCAGTCCAGCATACCAAGTTTCATTAATCACTTTCTGAATGAAGTTGCATGGAAGTAATTTGTGCACTGAGTAGTGCTGCACAGGTACATTGTGGTAGCACTTGCATTTAAACACTGGTTGCAGAGAGAAACCATCCACTTGTCTTCATGTGTGGGAAATATACATACACATGTACACACATTCTCACTATCACATACTCTCACTCATGCACACAAAGGTATATATGTGTGTATGTACATGTTCCATTCCACAATAGACCCCTATACTTATTCATTGGCAGTTTTTATGTGTTTAAGGTCATTAGCGACTGACTGAGGGAGTTAAAAAGAGTATTTCTTTCTCCTACATTGTTACTTTCAAGTACATCTCTGCAAATGAAAGAACTATTTGAAACTACATTTCTTGAAAAATTCAATGCAGAGAATTTTTAGGACCAGTAATAATTGCAGTAAATGTGTCTACAGCTTTTGCTGCAGATCCCATGGCCAATGATGTGGCCTGCAAGTGGTTCTGTTTCTTACGTTTAAATATTTTTGTGCCTCATACTTTAGCACTTGCTGTTAGATTTGTAATATCATAAAATAAATCTCAATTAAGTTTAATTTTCTGTGGCTGAATAGAAAATGGTTTGCCAGGCTGGTAATTGTACATTAAGTGTGCAGTTCAACAAACCAGTATGCCACTTGTCATTTTCTCCAGACATGCAGTTCCTCATTTCTTTGCAGGTTGTACCTGTGTATACTATCTAATACCAAGGTTAAGAATTAAACCTTTACCTCCATATGTTTCAAGTGGTTAAACCTTGTGCTTTATATGTGGGAGATCTTTGATTAGCCTTGGTAACCAGTTATCTTGACAGGATTTTTGTGGTTTACCTCAGTTTCCAGTGGCAGATTCCAAGATAGTACTTTAAAATAGAGCACAGCAGTTTCATAACTCTTCATAATTCTCTCCATTACTTCTTGCTTGATTCTGTATAATACTTTTAATTGGCACAGAGTCATTAAGTAACAATGAAACTGATTTAATTCTGTTGTTAGTGTGAATTTGTTACTGCTACTTGCAGTAGGGTGTCTTGTAACATAAGTCTGTGTGCTGCATTATCACGGTAGCAAGGAATGTCAACATACGGAGAATGGAGAATTGCCCTCTTAGAATCATGTGATGCCACAAATGATGACAAATAAATTCTTCTTGATTTGATAGGATGTTGATTTGTTGATTACATACCAGTAATTTATTTAGGATTGGCATAGCTTTGTGAGAAACATCAAATTAAAAATTATATCCATCGGTAATTATTAATTCGGATATTCCTATATTTCATATAACTCATTTCCACACAAACATAATATGGGTTACATTGTGTTCACAAACATAGTAGCATTAGTTTTACTTTTATGACTGGTGTTTCTATATGCTGCAATATATATAATTAGTTGGACTTGCAGTCATTATATGCATATGTGTGGAGAAGCATGTATACACTACAGAATTTCGTCTTAAAATGAATGTAGTTTTGTGTTGCTTCCTGTCTCACTGTGGGTTGTTAATGTTTGAGAAAGCATGAAACATTTGTGAGCATGTGTTGGTTTCTGTCTGTTTTATCACTTTGTGCTGTTGACCTGCTGCTTCTGGCTGCAGCAAGGAGAACCACAGAGATAACCGGGAATCATCACCAGAGTATGATTCATCATCACGCAAGTCAAGGTGTGTATTGGTATATGTATGTGGTGATGGTTTGGGACCTGAGGGAGAGGTCATCTTTAGTATTTGCATGCCCCCAGCAATAGAATTTGCCCTGTGTTCTAGAAGCACAGAAGTTTTGTGATTTAGAAGCAAAATAATCTGCAGTGAGCAGATAGTAATAATCAGACACTGTATAGAGTAGACAGTGATAGTGCATAAGAAGTTTTACAAGCTAGAAATTTTGTGTAAGATTGAGGTTTTGTGTTTGGTCATACGATTGTTGCTGCTGCTGCTGTTGTTATTGCTGTTACATATAAACCAGTAGTGTATGAATGGTGAAAGATAAATTGTATGTAAGTACATGTCTCCATGCTCATCAGTTTCTGTTATGAATAGTGAGATAAACTGTGATTTATACAGTAATTTAAAGTTGTAAATTATGTGGGGATGATTTGTTTTTAACTTTCACAGTCGTCCCAAATGTATAAATGTTTTCATTTTGTATGTAACTCTTGTATTGAATGTGTAAGATGAATTTGCTGACCTCTTCTTTTATTCTACAGTTTATTTCTGTGTATCTAACCATAAGCTTGTACATAGTCTGTGGAGGCCAGTTGCTCTTCAGTTTGGTTATTTGCAGCCATGTGCCATTTACATTATATTGTATTGCATCAAAAGAAAAAGAACTGAATATTTACATTACATGTAGCTTTAGGCATAGTGTGATCATGAACATGAGAACATGAGATGTGCATGTAAAATTTTGTTCTGCCAATGTCTAGGGAAAAGGTCACTTGGGAGATGCAGGTGTAATTGAAAGGGTAGTATTAAAGTCAATCATTTACAGAAAGAGCGTGAGGGGATGGACTGTATTTGTCTAGTTCAGGGTTGGATTTAGTGGCAGGCTCTTGTGAACATGGCTTTGAACCTTTGCATTCTATAAAAGGCAGGGATTTTTTGAGCAGCTGAGCTACTAGTAACTTCCTAATTGGCACTCTGTACCATGGAGTTACATAGTAGTAACATACTGAACAATATGTTCAAATACTGACAGCACACAGTAAGAATAGATTTGTCACTCCATAATCCACGAGAACCAGAAAAATGAATATTTCTTCTTCTGAAATAATTGTGTTTGTTTATTGAATTGTAACAGTAGATGTAGAAATATGAGTGCAAATTTTGAAAACAGTTAAAATGTTTCCCTTTAAATTATCTTGTGTTACATTGTAGCTGGAATTGTAATTCAGACTGCTGCATTACGAGTTGTAGATTTAGGTCTTGGGGATATTTTGCTGTGTTGATGAACTGAAAAGAAAAAATATGAGATTCAGGTTGCATTGTTCAGATAAAACAAGGGCTATTCATAAAGTAACCTCTGGTGAGCTGTTAACAAAACAAGCAATGAGAAAAATTTTATTATATAAAAATACATACTTAAGCTCCTTCTCAACTTGAGGGGCTTGTATCAGGGAATATGTTTCTGTATGCCTGTGTCAAAGAAGTCTGCCACCCGTGGGCTCAGCCATGTTTTGGCACCTCCCATCAACTCCTGTTGTTGAAGTGCTGTGATCCTAACCAGTTCTTTGGGTAGGGAAACAGGTGGTAGTCGCTTTGAGTTGGATTGGGCTATAAGAAGGGTGGTCCAACAACTCCCAGTTGAAATGCTCCAGCAGTGCTAGCAGCTGTGTGCAGACATGCATTGTCATGGAGGAGCACTACTCTGGATGTCATCATTCCACACCTTTTGTTACGAATGGCCATCCCTACGTGGTTCTTTGGTGTTTCACAATATGCTTCTGATGTTACTGTGGTCTCTTGTTGCATGATCCACCACCAGCACATATTTCCTGTCCTGTCCCAGGAAACATTTCTGGCAGGCAGACGTTTGTTTCAACTTTTTCAGCTTGTTTGGTGAATGTGTGTGCATCCACTGCTTTGAGTGCTTTTTGGTTTCAGCATTCACAAATGAAACCCAGGTTTCATCATATGTTACTCTTACGATGTGACTGAGAAATTCACCACCATCTTTGTGATATCACTCTAAAAATGTCAATGCCAACGCAATTCTTTGCATTTGTACACACCCATGAGCATTTTCGGAACCCGTCTTGCGCAGAACTTGTGATAGCATAGCCTGTGATAATCTTGTAGAGAAGAGTGTCATGAAATTTGTGGAAATTCACACACAAGTTCTGAAGTTGTGAAGCACCATCTTTCACAGATTTTTTGATCAGCACTTTAAACAAGGTCACCAGTGACTACAGATAGCTGACAACTTCGCTCTTCATGACGAACATTTGTTGGCCCATCTTTGAATATTTTACACCATTGTCTTACATTTCCTTCACTCATTACATTTTGACCATAAACCACCCACAATTCACGATGAATTTCGGCGGTACTCATGTTTTTAGCACAAAGAAAGTGGACAATAGCACGAATTTCACAGCTCTAAGGATTATCAGTTGCGGACTCATCATAACTCACTCTTTCGAGACAAGAACAAACACCAGGTGACCAGTCATGTGACACTCTCTTGCACGCGTCAGCTCTCCCCACTCCTGCATTAGTTGCCAAAAATAAATGGAGGTTCCTTTCTGAATATCCCTTGTATTAGGCAGTGCAAATGAATAGCAGTGTGGTTCGTATGAAGGTCTCTGTATTTGACTAGCACTGTTTCCTTGTTTCTCTTATTTACTTTGCATGTACATGTATGATCTCTATGTAGCATGTCATTTTAAATATTATACTTGAGTAATTTCTTTCTCCCCCCATTAGATTAAAATATGGAATATAATTTGGTGTTCATTTGGTGTTTTAATCAGCCATTCTTTTCCTGGAAGAGACATACATCATGTTCATAGGAGATTGATTACATTATCTAATTTTCCCGTAGAAATGCTCATTGCCTTTGTCCAGCATAGTGTCTTCCCATGCACTGAACAAGTAATAAATCACAGATGCTGCAGAATGGAGTCTTGTTGTATTTATCTGTGCAGTAATTATGCAGTTCCTTTCATTGATTCATCAGAGTTCTCTTGTTGGTACTTTTCCATTAACATTTTGTGGTTTCTGGTAACTAGTGATGTATTTCTCACATATTTGAGATACAGAATGTATTAACATATTCACTGTACATGCATAAGACCTCCAGCATTCACAATTTTGTGCTACTAGTACTGTTTCTGTGCATCATGTTCATGTTGGTTTCCACACAGTTGTCAGTTTTCTGTTTGTATGTAATTTAAATGAAGTTCACTTAAAAAAAATGTGTCATAAAGGAAACTTACACTAGAGCTGTCTAATTTCCATTTAGATGGTACATAAATGATGCCTGCTTGGAAGTCACATGCCGCCCTCACCCAGTATTTGAACCTCTATAATGATGGCTGATATATATGTTTGTTCTCTCACAGAAGAATGTACTTTAACTGTATGGTGATATGGTGGAAATTTCTCTGAATTGCTTTTTATATATATAAAGAGCTGTATTTGTTTTAAAAAATAAAATTTGCTGGCTGTGAATGATAACTGCTCATTTGCATTGCAGTGAATGTGTTAAATATAATTCCTGTCCCTTATTGTATATAAGTTGAGATTTCTATTGTTGAAACCTGCCACCATTAGATTTCGCTGACAGTTAAAACACAGACATTGATATGTCATGTTCTGTAGCTGTTAACAGTAGCCATAGTTCTGATAGATCTTTTCTGTGAGTTTGGAATGAAGTGCTTATCATTGTGAGGTGAAGGTATTTAAATAATATGTCTGTATTGATTTCTCTGCATAACATGAAGGATAGAGGTCTGCAGACATGATCGTTTCAAATTTAATACTAGATGATTTTGATGGTATTTAACCTGCTTATGATTATTGGGACTTCTGTGCCACTAATCTTACAATCAAAATTTATCTTTCCCTTGTTATAGGAAATGGCAGCTGCGCTAGCCACGTTGAAATTGATATTATTATGCATGAAAATACTATGCATTCACTAGGGATAGCTTTCATTCTTCAATTTTTCAACAATTTTAAAACTGCAGAAGGTTAAGATTAAATACTAAAATGTTTAGACATTGCAAGATCAATGCAGTTAAATCAAGTCCGCGAGTATCTGCTGGAACAGACATATCCAGTGTTACTGTTTCTCAAAATCTGTGTGGTTTTATGGTTGTTGAGGAAGAATTTTATACATGAAGAAATTGAAGGAATTTAACCATTCATTTCAAACTTAATTAAGTTTGATGGCATTAATAATTTTGTGTGTGTGTGTGTGCATGTTACCTGACAGTAGTATTTTTCTTCTGTTTGTGGTTTTATTTGCTGCTGTGTAGTCGCGCCAGTCCTGGGCGTGAGAAAGCACCTGAATTGATACCTCACATTGGTCCCAGATTTGCTGCTAAAGGAAGGTTAGAACAAATTAATTAATTATAAAACTGACATATTATATAAACTGTGGATGATATACTTCTGTTTCTCTTAAGGATAATTGGAACCATTATATTCTCATTGAAGCCAGCTGGCTATATGATGATTTATATACATACATAATACAAGTCTTGTCTTGTGTTGAAAATATACAACACACTAACCTTTTCTAGTACAGTAGACTCTTTTTTATCTGTATTGATATATTAGGGGGCAAAAATTATACAATATATTCATCATTCAGAATAGTGCATTTGTAAATATTACAGGCAGTGGTTAATATTTCTCTCTCCTTATTTATATATATATAAAGTATTTGCTATCCAGTCTTCAAAAATTTACAGTTTTCTGAACATACCATTTGAACATGACTGCTATAAGACACACGTCACCCATATGAAGGCTATGCATTTTTGTCTCAATATGGCACAATCTGTGTCTTCATGTTATGTTCTTTTGTGAGACTATATTCTGGCGCTCTGTAATTGTATAGACTGGATTTATTTGGTTCCAGGATAGTGTCTAGTCCTTTGTGAAAACATGAATCTCTTGGTTCCATAAAAACCCCAGCAATGTCTTGAACAGCTGAACAACTATCAGCTTCTTAAGAAAAATCTATACTCCAAGTTAGTTAGATCAGAGAAAGGCATTAAAAATAAATGAAAACAGAAGCTGATGTCACAAAATCTTTTAAGGGCCGTATCTGACTTGTCCTATATCATGTAACAATTATCTATAGAGATGAAATAAATAAAAAGGTTAACTAAAATAAAATAGAATAGTATCTATAGATATTTACAGTGTGAATCTTATAATAGTGAGGTTAAGATTTAAACAGTAGTTGTGAAATGCTACTTGTGATTTTTGTTTTTAATTTTGTCTGTGTATGTGGGTATAATTGACTGCATTAGTATACAAAATATTTGAAATTGATTACAATGGAAGGACTAGGTAATGAAGAGCCTACTGAGTACTTACTGTTTCTGCTTACTAAAAGCAAAGTGTTTGCTCAATATGGGACAGGATTGTGCATGAATTTGAGTGGTATCTTGTTTTAGCATACAAGCTGTTTCATGTAATATTCGTAATTTAGCATCAGACATGTTATGTTGAGCTGGATTTGCTGATGCAGAAGAATCATCACAAGATCTTCAGTTTGTCTTTATGTAATATTCTGTCTGATGTTGGATGCTTATATCTCGATGCTTGATACTGTGCATAAAATCATGGCTAATGGTATTGAACTTGAAATGCTGTCACATTCTTCGTTGTGGTTTAAACATCTGCCTACTATGGTGATGAGATTAAAATTAAATGGGTTCAAAATAAAATTGTCTTCTGTATTCTGTACCTTTATTATAAATCCAACTGTCCATGTATGTACTTATGGGATATTAGAAAATCAAAAATATTTATATTTTCATAGGTTGTTAAAGGTGCTATTAAAATACATTCTAAATTATAAATGTTGTCACCATCAGGGGACCCTGTTTGCAAAATGAATCATATTAGTATTCAATATGATCATAAGTTACAAGTAATTAGAAAGATGTTTCATAGCACAGTATAGCAGACATACAGAATAATCTAAAGAGTGGCCAAATGACCACTTCATTGTAGGTAATCCAGCTGTTTTGTTGCGAGTTGTGAAGTAAGGAAAATATATATGTAGTTAGAGTTGCATGTCAGTTTTAGTCTGTTAACAAGAATCTTCATTTTATTCTCACTTTAAAAAAGATGTTAGCAACTAATTAAGTACAGCATTTATGTAATGCACAAGTTTAAATATGTGACATTCCTTGAACATAGGTGTCTGGTGTGATCTTTCAGAAATCAAAATTTACCACACCAGTATCAGTAACTCTTTGTACATAGGTAGAAATATTACTGATTTTTGTCATGTAATGAGCCATCTGACTAGAACATTGCCGCAGTAATCAAAGGCAGAATGAAGATATATTGTTTGAATGCATTCCTGTGATATGTGGTCTGCCAGCTGCAGTCAGTTCTGTTACTGATGTAGATGCATTCTTGAAAAATCCCTCATTATAGAGAAATTGCTATAAAAACAATTGAGTCAGTAGGAAGCGCATCTCTCACAATGTGTCTGAATTGTTCATTATGGCCATTCACCATCTTTCTATATCCAGAACAAACCTGCTGTGTCCCCTAACACTTCAGTCATGTTATATCAAAATCGTATACTGAAAACATGCATACAGAATTGACTGTGCTTCTTTGCTTAAGCAGCAAGGGTGCAGAGCCTGTGTTCCGTAACCCACGGGTGAAACTGCTTTGGGACAAATGGCGAAATGTATGGATGTTGGCATGGGAGCGGCAGCGCCGTTTACAGGAGAAATATTCATACCTGCTGGAACTTGAAAAAGTTAAGAACTTCAGCTGGGATGATTGGAGGAAGCGGGTGAGTAATCTAGCTATTGAAGGCTTATCTGAAGTTGCATGAATACACCAAAAATATTTTGTTAGGATGATTAAATGAAGGAACTTGAAATGGACAGGACACATGGGATGTGTGGGCAAGTGAGAAGTGCATGTAACATTTTGTGCAAGAGACCTCTGGGGAAGAATACATTCAGGAAACATGGGAGTAAATGGGAGGTTAATATAGCAGTGGATATAAGATTTAAATGTAGGGTCTAGATCAAACTGGCTCAGGGTAAGGCATTGGTGACTCTTGTGAACATAGTGAAGAACTTGGAGATTTTATAAAAGCATGAAATTTTTTGACCAGCCAAGAAATTTTTAGCTCTTCACAGAAGACCCTTTGACAGCAAAACTCAGTGAAATATACTGATCATTTTCCATCCATCTGTTTATGTATAAACCTATGGTGATTTGTGTTGTTTTTAGTGATTGTTTTCTGAAATTTTGAAATTTGCAGATGCTAACCAAATTCCCCTTATACCCTTCTGTAATCATTCTAAATTAAATCAGTGTGAATAATGAAATTATAATGTTTAAATTGAACGTGTTGTATTTGTTACTGTAATTATTATCTCATTTTGTTCTCCCGTGATATGTGCAGAAAATATTGGTATTTTCTACTGGTTTTGTACTAATGACTGCAGAAGAATATGGATGGCAGAACATTACCCATTTTGATTTGTGGTCTTCTGTGTAGTCTTGTAGGTTACCAGTGCCCCTGGGAAACTTACTGCCATGGAAGAATGAGAGACAGCAGGTTCTTTTGAAATGCTGGAAACTACATAGGAGCTACTTTGTGTCATAACTAGGGACCAGATTTTTATGCCTTAATAATCCCTTAAATATGTATGCATTTATGCATGAAAAACTTCCAAAATATGCACATAAAAATTTGTACCAAATATTAAAATTAATTTTACATTATTTTAAGACCAAGAAAAGCTATACTTAAATACAAATCATGCAACAAAGCCAACATATTTCATTACAAATTTAAAAAACCAATGGTACTCACATTTAGCTCTCCGAACTTACAACTTTTCTTCTGTTGCAGTTCACAGTTACTAAATGTTTTAGGTTCTCCATAGTTAATCACCTCCTATTGTCTCGTAAGATGTCCTTATAGCGGGAAAAACTTCTTTCCACCTCACAGGAACTTAGGGCGCATGTACAAAAGCCAGTATTTGCTCAACTGTTAGTGATTTTTTACTTGGCAGTTTAGTACGTTTACGTGCTAAAATTTCTTCAGTTTGACAAATTTGTTCATATCCTGGAGTTTTTGAAAGAATGCTGTGTACTTTTTCCTTTACTACTTCACAAAATCTTGCAGGAACCGAATTCAATTTGGAAACAGTGGTTTTGAACACTAAACGACTGATACAAAGTAGTATTGCTATTGCTTGCCTCCAGTGAGGAAATGGTGGATGGAAGATGAGAGAAGTGAGCAGATATATAGGAAAGATTAGTTTCTAGTTCTGCGTTTTTTAGTACATCTTGGGCAACTTGTGCCCCAGTGCGTTAAAATTGGTTCTGGCGGAAGTGGAACGCTCGATGCTACTGCTTTATAAAGGCTTCTTTTCTGTAAGGCACTTTTAACAAATACCTTCTTCACAGAAGACACCAACTTGTCAACAAGCGGAAAATTTGCACAAATTGTTTCTGCAACATGGTGCAACCCATGGGCAAGGCAAGTCAAATGTGTCATATTTGGAAATATAACTTTAAGAGCAGTACCGGCTTTCATCATATAACTTGTGGCATCAGTCACAAAGAGCAATACACGCTCATACTGAATGCCATTCGGCCATAGTTAATTCATGAAATTGATAAAAAATTCAGAAACTGCAGAGCTATTTGTGGTTCCAAATTGCTCTGCCGCAAGAAGATATTGGGTAGATTGTTCATTCTTATTAAGGGATTCAACTATACAATTTGCAATAAACCGTCCCTCACAATCTTGTGTTTCGTCGATTGATACCCACACAAAATTATCTTGAATATTATCTCTAATGCTTTCAATTGTAAGATCGTAACAGTGCTTCACATAATTTTTGCGCACAGTAGATTCATCCAGCACTTTGCGCTGTGTATACTTCTCTATGAAGTTTCTCAGAGTAGGATTGGTTAGTTTCCAAAGCAGAATATCTTCCGATAAAAAGGCTTCGCATAAATCAAAGGAAAACTGTGAAAAACTATTATTAGAAAATTCACTATGCAATTTTTGAACAGGTGCACTTTTTGTGGATTTAATTTTAATATTCTCTTTGTGTATATTAGTGTTCAAATGCTGAAGCACTTGAAAGCGTTTTTCACAAACAACTGTTTTCTCACATGCTTGGCAATAAAGAATTTCGTTATCCGTACTTATCATCTCTCCTTCAAACTCCCGCTGATACAGCTGTAATTTAGTTTTCTGACTTACTTTCACTTTCGGCATGACTGCAGAAAGCTAAATAAACTTAACTACAGACTAGTCACCACTAATGTCAATGGCCCCCAGCTTCAAATGAAAAAGCGTAATGAACCTCATGGAGACTTTGGAAATAAATAAGTGAAGTCCCTTATCGGTTGAATAGTATTACGTTGATAGAGGCTACATGTGAATGCTTCCGACTAATCTCTTCGCGGCCACTTTGATGGTACGTGGATGAGGCAAGTTACGAGTAGAGGGATTGCGGAAGTCCCACCCTGGGTATTGCATCAGAAACATTAATCATGACANATCATCTCTCCTTCAAACTCCCGCTGATACAGCTGTAATTTAGTTTTCTGACTTACTTTCACTTTCGGCATGACTGCAGAAAGCTAAATAAACTTAACTACAGACTAGTCACCACTAATGTCAATGGCCCCCAGCTTCAAATGAAAAAGCGTAATGAACCTCATGGAGACTTTGGAAATAAATAAGTGAAGTCCCTTATCGGTTGAATAGTATTACGTTGATAGAGGCTACATGTGAATGCTTCCGACTAATCTCTTCGCGGCCACTTTGATGGTACGTGGATGAGGCAAGTTACGAGTAGAGGGATTGCGGAAGTCCCACCCTGGGTATTGCATCAGAAACATTAATCATGACAAAATGCTGAGTCAAATATGCAACATATTCTAATACGGAAAAGAAAAATTGTATACACAAGACCATGATTGAAAATTTGAACATAAAATTAAAAAATATATATGATAAAAATTTTAAAAAGGAAATATGCATTATAAATAGAGATCTTCGAAAATATGATGCTTATTCATAAAACGGGTAAAATATGCATGTCAAACCATGTCCAAAATTTAAGAAATGAAGTAATTCATACATAAGCGGTCTCCGTAGTCTAGGGGTAACGTTCCCACCTCATGACTCAAGGTACACGGGTTCAAACCTGGCGGAGGTCGTGGAATTTTTAAGGGTGGAAAAGTTCAGGGAAGAAGTCCTCCGGGAGGGACTTTAAGCCATGGGTCAGGTGTCGTAGCTTTTCAGCACATAAAAGAACTTCATGTCCCAAGGGGACCACTGAGCAAAATTCAGGACATTTCCCACCCAACAATAGTCTCTAACGCCTCTGGTAGATGGTGGAAGCATCAAGAGATACCGCTGAGCCAGTAGAGGCCGAGCTCGCTTTCTGAGTCGGGACTGATGGCACGCACCAGTATCGGTAGGGTATAGAGACTGGTAGAATATCACAGGGGGACATACAATAGACCACTGGTCGCGGTGCATGGGGACACCCACCCCCTCCAATAATAATAATAATTCATACATATTGTCGCGTAGCGGGCGTATATCGCGACAAATGAATTCTCGACGTNTAGCGAATTTTATTTCACATTCGCACTTACAATCACCCAAATTACAGATTTACGATTACTGCTATCTGCAGTATCACAATTAGTACACTCCAAATGCCACAATACAACTGACTGGTTGCTGGCTAACTCGACGATAGGTCCAGGACTCGCTGACTGACTCAGTACAACTCTGCGGTAGCCACACTAGAACTGGCTGTGAATAGCCTTCGCTTCTCCCTATGTAGCCTCGATCGGACAATACGGGAAAACGGCCACGTAATAGGCACCCTTGTTGCTAGGTCGCTGTGTTGCTATGTAACGCTAGCGGAGGTAACCGCTGTTACTATCGTAACGTCGCCGCTGTTGACTCGCGTTGCCTAGCGACCGCGATATCCCTCGGTGACGTCACCGTGGAGGGCGGTGGCGGGGCGGGAACTCGCCTATTACCGTAAGAACGCGAGCGTTACGCCACCGCCACGCACCGCGGGGGGAGGTAGGGGTCAACATGTCACAATATATCCAAATGAGCATACTTTCTGGTTGCAAGAAAGAAATGCATTTGCATTAAAATCTGGTCCCTGATCATAACCCAGTTGACCACAATCAAAATTTTCTCCATCTTGCAAACCTCAAAATCAAATATCCGTCTCATTGCAGAGAAAATTGTGGATGAATTTCAGTTTCAGTTGAAGTATTCAAATGGTGAACAAGAAAGTGGTATATATGTATGAACTGTCTAGTAAGACAGAACATGACTTTGATTTCCTCAATTTCTGAACAGTTTTTACAGTTCTGTTGAACACTGAAAAGATCGAAGAAAGCAGTCTTCTGAGATATGGCACCGTGTATATGTGGTGTTAACCGACGTTTCTTAGGTCTGCTTTTACCGTTCTCACGGTCTTGTCGCTTGCGGATTTCTTATACTTTTTCTTCTACCCTGAAGATGGAGGCGATACGTTCCTCCGAAACGTCGGTTAACACCACATATACACGGTGCCAAATCTCAGAAGACTGCTTTCTTCATAGTCACCGCTGTGAAAGCCTCAAATCTTACACTGAAAAGATCATTCATTATTGAAAATATGTGTTTGTGTGTAATCAAGAAATTTATTATTACTACTAATAGTACTACATTGCCTTTGTTTTATGTGTTGTATTGTTTCGTTGTGCAGTGTTTTTTTTTTAAGAATATATAAGAAATTGTAAACATTGGAATAAGTAAATAATGCAATTAAAAGCAACTCACTCTAGTTAACAGAATTTAGGTACCTGAGTATTCAGAATCTTTCTGAACAGGTGGAATGTTTTATAACTGATACATTATTTAGAAAGTCACAGTATAAAGTAATTGATTATTGTAATAAGAATGCAGATTTTATGACATATTTAGAAGTTTTCATTAATACAGGTTTTTTCTTAGTTATTTTCTTTGCTTTGTTTACAGTTCCTCAAGTTCATGAATCACAAGAAGTCTCGTTTGACAGATTTGTTCCGAAAAATGGACAAAAACAATGATGGTCTCATTCCCAGAGAGGACTTCATAGATGGAATTATGAAAACTAGTAAGAAAACAGATGTGTATCTTATAATAAAGGATTTATATAAGTTAATATCAGGTGGCTTCTGCCATGAGAACTGGAGATCCTGAACAATCTTAGTGGCTTAACTGTCTTTAAAAGAAGCCCAAATTTTTCCAATATTTGATATTAAATGTTTGATCAAATAATTCCTCCCCTCCAAAAGTTGTTGAAATTTTTCTCCGTCTTTCCTATTAGAATTTGATACCAGCAGGCTAGAGATGAATGCAGTAGCAGACTTGTTCGACCGGTCGGGGGAGGGTCTGATTGACTGGAAGGAATTCATTGCTGCTTTGAGACCAGACTGGGAGGAGCGGAAACCAGATACTGAGGCAGAGAAGATCCATGATGAAGTGAAACGATTGGTGATGCTCTGTACTTGTCGTCAAAAGTTCCGTGTGTTCCAGGTTGGAGAGGGGAAGTACAGGGTGAGTAAGAAAAGTAATTGGTATTGAATATGGATTAGTAGCTTTCATTCTATTATCATTGTACATTGACTGACTGTACACTTTGTGGTGTCACAGTTTGGTGATAGTCAGAAATTGCGTTTGGTGCGTATCCTACGCTCAACTGTGATGGTGCGAGTTGGTGGTGGCTGGGTGGCTCTGGACGAGTTCCTAGTGAAGAATGATCCTTGTCGAGGTAAGCATTCGCATATTTTCTCATTCCTTTCATTTGAAGACACATGGACATCTACATTTTTGTTAAGTTTCGGATCATTGACATGTGTAGAGAAGATATTGATCAGTGATCCAAATGTTGCAGTTAATATCTGTTAAACAAATGGTGTTCAAACTGTGGATCACAGAACTAGTGTAAATAATTGCAATATACTGTATTTTGTAAAATAATATATGAAAAATCTGTTCTCTTTTGAATGAAACTGCATAGATACAAGCTCTATTTGGTTTGAGGGGTAATTCCTTAAAAACTGTTTGGTTATCAGAATCTTAATAAAATATTATAACGTATTATATGATAGATGTTTGTCACTAATGCTGAGAACCTAGCAAATGAAGTATAATTCCAATACCAAGTGTACAGTGTGATTGTCTTAGAGTTTCACCAGGTCATTGAGATGCTCAGGCAGGAGAGACAGATGCTCCTGCCATCTAGTGAGGCATGAGAGATTCAGACCTCTAGCACAAGTAACAAATCAAGAATCTGTGCAAATTTCAGTATCTTGAACAGCTACCATAATGTTAGCTTTTGTGTTGTTTATTGTCCATCTCTTACCTGCAGCCCCATGTTGCCTTAAGTCCAGTTACTGTATTTGGGCTGTTCATTAATCAGTCATTCACTCATTTCTGTTGTTCACTGTGTCACAATGCCATGTGATCTTGACATTCAAATGGCAAGTGTTCATGGTGCAATGCCTACACGAGAAGTGCTTGTGTAAGATGCCCCAAGGAGAAGACTCTGGCACCACATAAAAAATTATTTGTACAATCATATGTAATTATAAATCACTCCCCCCAACCTCAGTCCACATGACTTTTGCTTATGGGGAACAAAGTAGCAAAGTGTTTTAAGATTAGACCCCACAGAATTGAAGTATTGAACGAAAGTTTACTTCCCCCACCCCCCAAGATGGACTTCAGCATGAACTTTTACAGAGGTGCCTGGAATGTATTCTGAGCAAGGAGAACATTCTGTTGTAGTCTTGGTTGGGTTTGTGTGTCGTGTATAAAGGCCTGTGATTTGTTGAGACCATTTGTAATCTGAATATCCATTGCCTGACTTGACTGAGAAGCATCTGTCTCTATTGCTTCAGCAGCTCAACTATTTTCAGGAACCTCTGAAATGATGATACTGTGTTTACCCACTCAAGTGCAGAATGTCCAATTTGCAAAAGATTTTTTCTTCATCTGCTTTATGGACAGGTGTTATGTAAGATAAGTAAAAAATATTGGTACTACTAAATTTAGATTTTAAAGGACATTACGCTTGGTGCAGACTGGTGTGTCATTATACTTACTGTTCACACATGAGACTTGTGGTGTTTATGGTAGTCCATATTTATTTTTGGAATCTTCTGGGTATGGCATTATGTCATAATTGCAAAAATTAAAGACATTTTGGAAGAATTTGTGACTTTCTTTTTCAGGGGCAAAGAAAAACAAGTTCCTTCAAAACACTGCCCAGAAACCTACAGTGACTTGTTTGGATGAGCTTGTTCTTTTCTATATATTAAATTTACATAATTGTTTAGCTGCATTTACAGTAACATAATGTGTGCAATATAGACAATGAAATGCCCATTTAATGTTTCTCCATTGGAGGTGCCCCCCCCCCTCCTCCCTTTCATATTCTGTAAACTCAAACAAACTCCGTGATTTTAGTCTGCAAGCGAACTATACCGACCAAGTGACCGCCGCTTTTCGGCAAAGTTTAGTGCCAACTTTTGCGGACAGAGGGTGTCATGTGGTCAGCACAACGAATCCCCACAGCTGTTAATTTCGGTTTTCTAGACTGGAGCCACTATTTCCTTGAAATAGCTCCTCAATTATCATCACGAGGCTGAGTGGACCCCGTTCCAGACCCACTACTTCTCAGAAAAAATCTGGTAGTGCTGGCAACTGAACCCGGACCTCTGGATCTGTAGCTAGGAACGCTAGGCTAAATTATCTTGGTATAAAGTTGAACTTCACCTTTGTTGTCCCTCAGATGAACCTTAAATGGGACTTTCTGTGTAATTTCTTATTTGAAATTCCTGAGCACTCATGGCTTTCGTCATATTAGATCTTTTCTTAGTTTTATAGAACATACAGTACATAAAAATGTAGCCAAAAGTCTGCTATCAGAAAGGTGTTTGTTGTAAGACATAATGAACTGAGAATTGTGTGTTGTGTAACAAATTATTTCTGTTTTCTTAAAAATCTGCTTTAAAAAAGACAAAGTTAATCACAAATTCAAGACTGAAACAGTATGTTCAACACATTGTATCAGCTTCACCAACATCTGATAGCATGCATTAAGGACAGTATAAATATTGGTTGTACTGGGTATTGAAATTGAAAATATGTCCAGGGGTTTCATGAAGAAAAATCAAGTGCATACTAATGTATTGTGTGTATTTTCTGTTTTTCTCTCCTGATAGCATTTTGGAAGAGGCTCTATACCAATTAGTTTTGGTGTTGGTAAATTTTTATTTCAGTTTGTTTTTATGCTTTGTATTTTTTAATAATTACTTTAATTTCATTTTTGAATTTAGTTACGTTAGTTTTAAAATTTAGTTTTAGTCAGAGGACAGCTGTTGAGTGTCTGCAGTAAGAATTTATTGAGACACATTTTGAAGGGCAGAGCTGTATGTATGGTTATTGGTGTTCATGCAGTGATTGAAGTAATTAGTGTAGGAAATGAGGATTTAGTTAAACATATGAAACAGCTATAGACAGAATTTGAATGTTATCATAAATGTGTGAAGAACCTGTGGCACCTTGCATCTAACAGTTGCTAAACTACATCCACAATATATATCCCATTGACGCACAACTCCTGAGGTAACAGATTAAAAATCTTGAGCTTGTGGCTTTGGTATTTTTTTTTCCTTATATATAGCAGTTATTGGAGAAAAATGTACTTGCAGCTTAATGTCTGATTGAGAAGCATGGAAACAGATCAGACAGGAGGTTTACTTGTTGTGCATAATGTTAAAGAAAACCTTTTGAAGGATAGTCATTTTATTTATGAGTTGGCCATTTGGCAATGAAGTTAAATGTGAAGCTTTTGTGGAATGATAATTGGGAAGGGAACCCCAAAATTCTCAGAGAGAAACCTACACCAGCGCCAGTTTGTCCACTACATTCCACGTGGACTGTGTGGGATTGAGCCAAGACCTCTGTTGAGAAACTAGGAACCAACCACTTGAGCTATGTCAGAGCAGTCACATGAGGTGGTCATACAACTTTTCACACTCACATACAACAATGTTACCTGTACGAAATGCAATGTAGGTTGTAGGGCTAACACATAGTTACATTTTGTGTATCGTACAGAGTGGCCTGAAAAGTACTTACCATAGAGCAAGTTAGTGTAATTTTTCTTCCAAAAGTTGCCTGATCAGTTGGAGGACTCTCAGGGTATTCTTCATTAGATCCAGTATTAGTTGATTAGTTTGAAGTGCCTGGTCTTCCATACATCAGAAAGAACACTACCCTCTCCTCATTTGCTAATTTTGAACTAATTATATGCTTGAAAACTGGACAAAAAAAAAAGAATTATTATAGTCCAACAATGAAATCTCCTATGATGTGCAACATTTGCACTACCCTGTATGACAAAATCATGACAGGTAAATTGAGACAAGGTTATGAAATAAAGACTAATGAAATCTATAACATCCATTCAAGAGTGGAACTAGCCCATTAGAAGCATCCCAGTGTCAGTTGTCATTAATCTCAGAGTACCCTTACAAAAATTTCAAATCTTTGTGCCTATCCACTGTTGTCTCCCTCCAAAGAAGGAGTGGCATACATATTCTGGGGAAATTTCCAGGGAATGTGTCCAAGTGATGTTTAATACTGAAATTTTGCCTGTCTCCACAGTACTTTCCAAAGTTTAAATAGATACTGGTTCCTTTATACTGTCTTATTTGTAGTCCAAGATATATTAGTGCTGCAGTCACTGGTCAGTTCAGACAAAATTCTGACAGGTACATTTGACAGTCTCAATCTTTTGTTGTTCATTCATGTGAAATGGTAGTTTTATTCAATGAAATATGCTCTGTGATAATTTATTTTATAACTGTAGAGCAGAAAGTCACCAGAAATTTAAGAGGCAGGGGGTTGCTGTTCATATATTGAACAAGCAATTGCGTCCTGCCGATGTAGGGGTAGGCATTCAGTTTGGGGGTTGGATGGAGGGCTAACATCCTTTCACCACAAATGCCTATCCTGCTAGGGAATATTACAAGGGCCTTAGAGTGGGATGGATTCTTTGGATAGGATTCAGTGGCAGGCCCTTGTTAACATGGGCATGAACCTTCAGTTTCCCTTAAAGAAGGGGAATTTCTTGAGCTGCTGAAGAAAGGTTTCATTGCATGGAGCAAGTTAATTGATGGGCCGCACCACTTCTGCTCTGTGGTATCAGCACAGAATTACGGTTAGCCTGCAAGGTATACTTGGGAGAGGATTCGTAATGATGGTTAAAGTCTGTTGCACATATGAACACAATGTATGAAACATTTACGAGACCATAATTTCCATGTTTCTGAATCAGAAGTAGACAGTTATTGTAGAGTTGATTATTATTCTGTTATACAGTCACATAGCATTTTAGAAAATAGGGACATTAACAGTATTTTTCTCTCATTTCTTTCCTCTTCTTTGCTGCTGTAACCAATCTCATGAAAATACTAATAATCCTTGTTCCTGCATACCTCTTCAACTTTATTTTCTGTGCATCTTTCTTGCTTATGTTCATTGGATTCGGTACTTGTTATTACTCAATTTTGCATTTTTTATACATACTGCGTTATTTTGGCTGTGGCACTTAAGTGGTTTTACTTCCAATTCCTGACCCCAATAAGCCAGAGGAACATGAGGCATGGTGTCCTTTGAGCTTCGTGGCCTTATCATGTAAGAACAATATTTTTGATGCATGCCTTGATGTGTGAAGTTTTTAGTTTGCATCTTTCTGCATATCAGCATGATGGAAGTCTGTCTGTTTGCCAGTTGTCCTCTGTCTCAGTGATCTGGTTGAAGTTATTTGTCCAGTACCACTGGAATTAAGAAAATGCAATAAAACTTGTCATGTCCCTCCACCATATTACACAAATTTACAAAAATTTCTTAAGTCCTTTCCATCTTTTCAGCCCCCCTCCCAGTCCCACTAGCCCAATACAGTAAAAGTACTGGTACTGTTCACATGAATTAATATAAGAGCAATGCAAATGAATAGCAGATTTGCAGAATATGTTGTATACAACATGAGAAAGACTCGTGAAATACACAGGCTTAATGGGGTATAATAATTAGGAATTCTGTTAGTGGGCACTCAGGTGTATTTTAATATTAAATTAATGTTAATAAAATTTAATCTGTAAACCCATTTTAGATGATGTGGCCATATTGTTACAGGTAGTACAGCATGTTAAATAAATGTGCTCATCTCGCTGAATTATATAAAATTTTATTTATTTTTAGAGTAGTGAATGTTCAAGGAAATATTCCTAAAAATTAATTTTGGCTTTCAGCTGCATTTAAATGGAAGCCCCATTTACCAGAGTGATCCAAAATCATTATTATGGCTTAATTTAATGTAGAATTCAGTTGAATTATGTGAGTGGAACATGAAAATTCTGCCCTTTTCCTCTGAAGTAAAATGAAAGTTGGGTTGGATTTCATATGAAGTAATAATCCAGTGTGTCCAGTATGATCCAGACATTTGGATGAGTGGTAGGAGATTGCAGTAAACTATATATGAATTACCCTCTTCACAATATGGTGTATAGCTGTGGCCTTTCCACATTTACACGAATTGTGTACAGTGGAAAACCAGCCTCAAGAGCATCAGCCAGATTGAATCATGTCAGGCCTTGCAGGTATTGCATGTGTTTGTCACTGGCCACCCCAGTAGGATTTTGCTGACACCACTGAATGTTTTTAAGTATTTTAGTATTTTATTGGTAAACATGTTAGTCTGAAATACACAGAACCAAATAAGGTAACTGATGTTCATGGTAGTTAATTTATGTGATATTTTATCCCTGTCCATTGCGTGTTAATGGCACAAACATCAAACAATTTGCAAAATTACTTAATATTACAAAAAATAAAGTTGTGAAGTATTCTGTACTTTAATATTTATAGTTCATATCATAAAATTAGTTGCTTCACTGTCACAATAAGAGTATAACCCTTTTTCCCTTCCAGTTGTGCATCACAGTATGGTAGTGTCATAATAAGTAACAGCATTGCCAGTTCACCCTGTGCAAAATTACAAATGAATCTCGAAACTTGTTTTCCAAATCTTGTATACACCATATCTCGTGAAGTGTAATATTGATTGAGAGGGAGGTTTTGAAAAAATAGAGTTTCTACAGTGTATCATAGATATGGGGCAAGTGGTGAATTCATCACAAGTGTATTTTTACCTGCATGCTGAATAATGAATGAACAGATAAATTTTTTAAACAAAAGAATAAAACACCATGATAATTTATTACTGTAGCACAAAGAATTAGTGAATGCAATGGTCAGGAAATCTCATTGATTCTGTTACAATTGAAAGTATCACAGCAGGTTGAAGTGAGAAGAAGACAAAATGTTGAACATGACTAAAATAATGTGGACTGTGGATGTTGTGGCAACATTATATGATTTTTTCTTTGCCTTGAAGGAATTAATTTCATGATGTGGATTTTTTAAATAGAGTATGTTGTAAAATAGAATAACATTTGTAACCAGATTGCTGTCTTGCTAGTAAGGGGGTTTTTAAATCCCATTTTGATTCACTACAGCTGTGAAGTTCTGTCACACCAAAAGGGCACAAAATGTGGCATCTACCTAGAGTCCTTAAAGCTTTGTCTTCAACTTGCAGTCCCAGTAACATGATTGGAGGAGGGAAGATCCCATTGGTTCTCTGCCTCAGATCAGAAATTGTGTCAGAGGTGTAGGATGCTGTTAATAAGCTCACTGTTCCCATAGAATTGAATAATGCTGATATGATGTTGTGAGAAGGCTGTGATTCCAGTACATTAAAATAGATTTGCTCTTATGGCAAAAGAACTATCATTGTGAAGTGACATTAGAGATAAGTTACATTCTAATTAACTTAATTGTTGGATTAAATGATATCAAATTAACATTTTATTTCTATGATTTTACATACACTGGGCTCTTGTAAGTTTTATTTAATTTCATCCATCCTCCTGTATGATTATTGTTTTTGTGTAGTTGAGTAGCAAATCTTTTTAAGTGCATTCATTCCAGAAGAAAGCATGTTCCCCCATGACTGAAACTGTGGCAAGTATTGAACATTGATGTTAATCCAACACACAGAATATAGGACACACCATTTTTACATAAGTCTGTTGCATATGGATGAAGATAAAGAAAATGTTTTTATTGTTGTGTGGTGTTTGACATACTTGGCACATGCAGTTCACTACAATTGAATTTGTATGAGGGCACTAACATAAAATTCTTTTCTACAAAATCCCTGTGCTGTGCATAAAATAAAAATTTTTGAGTTTATTAATATCTCCTCAAATTAGTTCTTGCTGTTATTACTTTTTAAGATGTCTTATTTTTCTATTATGTCATCAGTTTTCTTAATTGATATAAAATGTATTAAGGTGACTTAATGAATTTTGGCTTTGATAAAGAAGTTTTTTCAGGTAGTGGGCAGCAACTTTTAGTAAAGTAGCATTGAAAAAAATCTGTTACCAACGGGTTTGAATTCTGGAAGCTGCTGATTTAAGATTATGGTTAGAAAAAAGCTGTCCATGTATGAAGTGATATTTTATATAATGTTTCAGTCTTTAGAAATAATTGTTTTCTTGTAATGAATGCGCTTGTTGTATATCACTACTAGTTTATGTAAGCACGGTGTTGTTTTCTTTATGGTGTTTTGGTGTATAGTTTAGTTTAGTTTTGTGAGTAGAGACTGTAGGTTAAGGGAAAAGGTGTTTATTCTTTTCGGGAAGAATTAGCATCATGGTCCCCTGACCTCAGTCTCCTTTAAATATGCTTCTTATGATTATTATCCACTGCTTTTGTGAGATGTATATATTGAATTTATGCATCTGCATTGTTTTCCTTGGTTTGCTTATTGTATTGTTTCTTTTTGTCCTCCTGTCTCTCTCTTGCCTGGTCTTCCTGCAACATCCATGGTCATTTGTACTGAATTTGTTACTCCCTCCATTTTTTACCCGTTCACCCACGGTTTCTTAATGACATGGCATCCATCTTCATCTCCCTCTCTTGACCCTCTATTCCTTCCAATCCCTGCACATGATTGCTTCGCACTCGGGGGCTCTTACGTGCTGAATGGCAGCCAAGGGCCGCACAAACATCGAGCTGCGTGAACAGTTCATCTTGGCAGAGGGAGTGTCACAGAGTATGACTGCATTCAAACCCAAGGCCAGTCCGGGTGCCAGTTCAGCAGGATCACAGCGTTCCCAGTCTGTGGCTGGGCCCATCACGAAGGTTTGTCTGGCATGTCCTTGGTCCAGTACCCTTGTTTCCTAGTGTATTGTAACTTCAGGTGCATCTGCAATTTTCTGCTTGATGCTTATTAGACAGACTTATAAGAATTCTTTGCAATTCAGCAGCTGCACTGATTATTTCAGACATTTGAAAATCTAAACTTGTGCATCCCATTCCCAGTTGACACAGTCATATTGGTTAAGTACCATCCTTGAAATCAGAAGAACATGTTTAGTAGAAGGCTAATACATGCACATTATTCACCATGGGTTTCTTCTTCACTATACTGTGTTTTCAAACATCATAGAAACACATCATATCTCTCCTCTTCTTTCCTTGTTGTATTTTAATTTCTTCCATTTCCCAGTGAACTTGATTACCACACATTACTCAAGTTTGCTGGGAGTAACAGTTTGAGCTCTCAGAGGAGATGTTAATTGCATTTGCAAGCAATGCTCTGAATGTGTGTGGGTGGATGGATGATAATCACAGACATACTGCAAGTTTTTAAAATTCACTCATGGCAGTCTGGAATGCTCTGCCCCAAATTACGAGTACACCAGAGTTTGAAGGCCATTTCCCGATTTTTTGTTCCTAATAAAAACACATTTATTGTCTCAACATAATGAATATCAACACTAGATTTTCTGAAATTGTTTTTCTCCACATTTTATACGTTATTTTGTGGAAGCTTATAAAGTTGGTGTCTGTTATCTTCATATTCCCTTAAAAATAACACCATTTTCAGGGAAAATATAAATGTTCAGGTTAAAAGACCATAAGAACAAGTACTTAGTTACAGATTTCTATTGTTGTGATTCTTATTGAGGCACAATGGTGCTTTGTTCGTTTAGAGCGTTGCAAGTGAAATTGGCATCTCTTAGTGGACATTGTAACTCTTTGTGAGGTCATTAGTTGGTATGTACATTCTTGATGCATGAGCTTTTGATATCGGTACCACTGAATGGACTGCTGCTTATGGCCTGATGGAAGGTATGGTATAGTGTCACAGTACTGTTTTCATTTTGCATGGATTCAGAACACACTACCTCAGGAGATGCGACGTAAAATTACTATTGTTTTCTGTAACACTGATTGCTATGTTACATAGAGTAAGCTTACTTATGTAAATTAAGCTATGTTACATAGAGTAAGCTTACTTACGTAAGTTAAGCTGCATTACCTGTAAGTTCATCTGGGTTCATTAGATGTCCTGCGGGATGTCCTTGTTTGGTTACATAGGCAGCTTCTGGCCCATATTTGTTTTGAGTATATTTTGTGTCAACAGGTTTAATAAGATGTATTCTGCATGAAAGTTCAGGTTATTTCTTCTAGCAGTTTATTCCCAGAAGAGTATGGGACATTGGCTCTTAGGTTAGATTTTCCATGAGAGGGTTGTTGATTTGAGAGCTGTTACATTCAGTCAGTTGCTGGAGTTTGGGTACGGACTTTTCCAGCTGAGGAGTTTATGAATCAACTGATGCCGATATTTGAAAGCCTGAGACAACGTGAGGACCTGCCCTGCTCATACCCACTCGCCATGGGCTCATCTGGGCTCCCCTCGTACTACTGGGTAAATAAACAATGCTGCCATCATTACTGCAACTCAGTGTGTTGCATATCTAACACTCTCTTGCATCATGGAAAATGACATGAGCTTTCATCTGTTTCCTTTATCAAACTGTATTTTAATTTGTATACAATATTGTGATCCATTTGAGTCCATTGTGGTTACTAGGGGTAAATTTGCAAGGGTGGTGAAGGTGGTCAAGCTGACCACCCACCTCATTCGAATGCCAAAGTTAATTGGTGGAGCTACACCCCCACTTCCTTAAGTGTTTTCATTGTGTGGTGTTTAATTGATTGGTTAGTTAATTAACTAAGCTCAACAGAATTTTACCTTACCCTACCCTCTTCGTGATCCATGAAGATCCTTTTTGAGGATGAGAGGACAGTTTCATGGTGGAATGTATTTATGATTACAAACTGTTATTTTCTTATATTCAATATGAATGTACCTTCTAGAAAGTAAAGTTAGTGACAATGCTGGAAGGACCAGTATTTCATACTACTCTGAATTAAGACTTCAGTAGTTGCATACTGCAGGTGGTATACCCAAACACTGCTGCCTGTACATGCTTCAGATTAGTGTTAAAAGTGTGGAAGTGATTCCTTTGTGCAAAGTATCTGCCCATGCTCTAACTTGTACAGATATTACAGTTACCTTGTTGGGCCAAATGTTAGATACTTCTCCTTTACATGTAAAATTATAAAGAACAAAGTTGTATCTGCTTTAAGTGAAGAGAGTTGTGATACGTGCTGTTTACAGTGAAGGACATTTTGGAATTGTCTATCTTCATTAGGAATTTACTTGATGAGTTATACAGATGGACTGAGGTGTAGGTCCTGATAATTGACATGAGACAGAGTCTCTGAAACATCAGATTTTAATTCTGTTGAAGTAGGCAGTATTGTATTTGAAGAGTCTGTCTTCTGAGATCTAACACCATGTAGGCCACTGAGAGTTGACCAACATTTTGGAGGAACATGACACTTCTATCCTGAGGATTGAAAAGTGAGTTGAGCTGGTTTCTTACTGAGCTTACTGTTCAGCCCTGAAGATGGAAGTGATATGTTCCTCCAAAATGTTAGTTGGCTTTTGATGGACAACGTGGCATTATTCCCAGAATATATAACTCTATAACTACAGCTGTGAGAACTTCAAATCCTAAATATTGCATTTAGTAGTTGTGAAGTTTCAATTTTGTGTTCTGCATACAAACATTATTCCTAAAGGGATTCACAAGCATGACAGGCACAGGCAATTACAGAACTGAATCTATGGTCTAACTAGTATTAGCTTTGTATGTCTATTTCCCATGATGCTAAGATGCAAGTTGTGTGGCGGCATTTGTCTTGTTGCAGATATAAGCTTGTGTGTGGTTTGACCTTGTGCAGCTTTGGTTGTATAGGCAGGTTCCTCATATCATCTCATTCCTTTCGCTGTAGTATATTGGGCTACAAGTTGGTACGATGGTGTAAACTCTTCCTGGCCAAGTAGCAAACTCAAGCACTTGAACATATGAGATGATTCTCTCCATTCTTCTGAGACAGACTGGGCAGGCTTGTGTGTATAAGCCACCATGCGGTCCATCAGATTACTCTTGCTGTATATTATTTTAATTTCTGGATCATTTATACATTTTTAACTGCTAAATTTATTTATTTTTTTTTTCTGTTTCGTTATGTTAAATTTATGTTTCCTTGGCATGGGTGAACTGCCCATAGTTTGATTTCTATTAGGTAAGTACTAGCTCCTACATACAATGCGTCATTTACATCTACATTAATGGTTTATTTATTTGCCCCTTGTGCTCATTGGCGAATTAGTGGCGGTAATTGCAATAGGAGATGAGCATCAGTTGTTGCCAAGATTCCATTGGGTGAGTTGTCAGACTAACAGTAACTTAGTTTTCTCTTAACATCCTGGGTCCTGAAAGCATTAGTGACTGTAGAAGATTCTCACATATGATCTGTGTCTCAGATATGGGAGTAAAATGACACAGTACATCAGCTATTCATAGACTTAAAGAAAGCATATGATTCATTTAGGAGGGGAGTGTTGTACAATATTCTGATAGAATTTGAGGTACCCATGAAACTAGTTGGGCTGATTAAAATGTGTTTAAAAGAAACGTATAGTAAAGTCCATGTTGGTAAACATTTGTCTGATAAATTTCCTATCCAGATTGGTCTAAAACAAGGAGTTGCTTTATCGCCACTCCTTTTCAACTTTGCCTTAGAATATGCAATTAGGAAGGTCCAGGAAAACCAGGTGGGACTGAAATTAAATCGGTCATATCAACTGTTGGTCTGTGCTGATGATGTGAATCTACTGGGTGATAATATAGATACCATAAAGAGAAACACAAACTTTACTTGACGCTGGTAAGGAGGTTGGTCTAGAAGTAAACACAGAGAGAACTGCATAATGAGGAGCTTCATAACTTTTACTCTTCTCCAAGTATAATTAGAATGATGGAAGTCAATGAGGATGAGGTGGGAAAGCCAGATGGAAAGAGACAACTGGGAAGACTAAGGTGTAGGTGGGTGGACAATATTGAAATTGATCTTAGATGGGATGGTATGGATTGGATTGATCTGGCTCAGGATAGGGGCAAGTGGAGGGCTCTTGTGAACACAGTAATGCACCTTCGGGTTCCATAAAATGCTGGTACTCTCTTAAGTAGCTGCACAATTGGCGGCTTCTCAAGAAGGGCTCAGTTTCATGAGCAATGACTCATCTGTGTGTTGCAGCAGTTGTGAATTCCAAAACTGGCCTATACATGCAAAAGTGCTGTGTAAATTTTCATTCCTGGCCTTGGCGACAGAAGTGTTCAGTAGGCTTGTCATTTAGTGACATCATTTGTTGAAGAATTAACTAATTTCTGCATGGTTTGGTAGATCATATGTAAATTGCTGTTTGTGATCTAAGTGCATGAAAGAGGTTTTCTTTTCATCATATAGTGACATCTGTTGGGGAGTTCGGTAATTTCTTTGTGTTTTGTTTGTGTGTTACAGTACATGCGACCATAGTCCCTCTCACGTATTAATCTCCAAACTCGAGATGAGGGACATAACTTGACATGATGTTTAATAACTCTTTTGTGAAATAATAGGGTAAATTTGGGGTGTCTAGGGACAGTTAGTGCTAATTTTAAGCAGCTTAGCATCGTTCTGAGAAAACTTTAGAACCACTTTTGCTTCAGGACCTTCTTTAACTAATTTCTCTCATGTAGTAGAGTCTTATAACCACATGAAACATTGATCTTTGTGTACTGTTACCATAACGGGCGATTTGTGATCAGTTATTGGAGTGAAATTTGAAATACTTCGTTTCATAAGCATGCTTTACTGTGACTTTATTACTGCAGTGCTCTTGTTGATACTTTCACTCTGAGGAAATTTGTATGTTTAATTGATTTCTGGTTTGTTATGTACATCTTTTGCTCATTTCTGCTGCTGTTCATGTACGAGGTTTGTCCGGAAAGTAATGCAATTAAGTTTGTAAAAAAAAAATACATTCAAGATATCGTTACAAACGATTAAAATTCTTCAAAGTACTCCCATTGGGCATCCACACACTTTTGTCAGCGACTTTTCCATGCACGGTACACATCCTGGAAGGCGTCGACGGGGACCTCGTTTAGAGCCTTTGTCATGGTGGTTTGGATCGCTTCAGTGGTTCCAAAGTGGGTTCCTTTCACGGCACTCATTTTCCTCGGGAACAAAAAGAAGTCTGCGATCACTAGCGATCATCATTCAATTCTTATTATGGTCGTCAGTCAACAATTTGGGGACCAACTTGGCACACACTTTCCACATATGCAAATTATCGGTAACGATGTCGTGCACAGTGGTTTTCAGAATACTGAGAGCCTCTGCTATCATTCGAACCCTCATTTGATGATCGGTATTTAAAAGATCACGAACATGAGACACATTTTTATCACTTTTGCTGGTTGACGGCCGTCTAGAGCGGGGGTCACCCTCCACCTCTTCCTGGCCATTTTTAAACTACTTCAACCATCTGGAGACTTGAGAATAGGAGAGAGCAGAGTCCCCGTAGGCTTCCTGAATCATTTGGTGGGTGTTGGCGAGGCTTTTGTTCAGTTTAGCACAGAACTTGATCGCGTAATGTTCGATAGTTTTCTCTATTGCGCGTCGTGACACAGGCACTAACAGGAAGTTCACGGTAACAGCAATCCTGAAGCTTCCAGAGCTCAGAGCAGACTGAGCTCAGAAGCGTTGTGAAGCTAAAAGTCCTTCCCCCCTTTCCAAACTGGTCCAAACACGCTGCGACCAGGAGGAGTGGCGGGAAAAAACAAATTGCATTACTTTCCGGACAAACCCTGTATATGAGTTTGAATGTGTATATTAAATGGAAGCTCAGCATTCTAAAATATGATAAATCCAAATTAGAAAGTACCTTTATTTTCAAGATTATGTATGTATTTGTACGTGATATAAAATATATATAGGAAGGGTGCATAATTTTGGGAGTGTTCTCTAAAGTGCTTACAGAGAAACAAAACAAACAATATGCAGGAAAATAATGGGAAACATTACTTTGTTTTTATTGCCTGTTGCATTAGAAACATTGTTGACAATAACACATTAAATACAGCAAAAACTGGAGAGCAGTGCCTTCCCCACATTAGGCACCCATAGGTCTGTAATTTGGCTAGGTTGAACTATTTACAAGAAACTGATATTTTTTCTCACCCTTGACTTTATTTATTATTTATTGTCACACAGATGAGGCATGAATGAAAACAATTTTTGTGTGCCCACTTTATCTGAGAATAACCCCTCACAATACAAGCATTCTGCATCGGCATTTTTGTCAGTTACATCACCCCAGTCAGTGTCCTTGTTAGAATCGTTGAGATCAGCTTCTTCATCAAATTCTGATGACAACAATTCTGCACGTTTTCCCAAAATGCAGTACCCCAGTCTCTCCATAATAGGCACCAGAAGTGGACTTGGTTGGACCTGCATCATATACAGGGT